ACTCAAACTTAATAATGTTTATATTTAAGGAATAAATACTTACTTGATTATGTGATTTGCTTATATCGTATGTACAATTTGCTTAAAATCAATGTACAATTATAGTGCAAAGTGTTTGATCATGAAACACATCATTTGATATATGTTGCTCAATAACACTTTCCAAAATAAAAAAATGATGTTTTTTTACCATGTTATCAGTAGAAATGCATTTTTAAAATGTGTCCCTGTTATAAGCATCGTCAATATTCAGATTGTGCGTTGCGCTTTGTCGATACATATTTCTGGTAGAAAAACTTTTCAAAATGTGTGTCTAGTGAAATTACTGACAGTAAACACTTCATTAAAACATGTCCTCGATTGAGACACTTTTCTACGTGTCTTGACCATAAAATGTGTGAATAGGAAAAGCGCTTTTAAATGTGTTGTGATAATAAGCATTTTAATACATGTTCCTGGTGGAAACACTTTTTCAATACGTGTTTCTATTGGAAATACTTTACATAATATGTTATGTGCAAAAACATCCCCGAAATGTGGCAATCAAAAACACTGACTGAAAGTGTTTTCATTGTATACACATTTCGTATTTATGCAGGTTTTTAAAGTGGGGACAACCTTATAAAACTTTAAATGTTTTACCACAAAACAGTCAAAGTGTTTTATTTTAAAACAGTGGTGTTTTAAAATAACTCATTTGCGATTTTAAGAAAAAAACACTTGATGTGTTTAATTATAAAACACTTAAAGTGATTTTAAAGTGGGAAGAAAAATGTGTCATATTTTAAAACACTTAATTATCACGTGTGATTATAATCTGTTAATAGAATATTGGCCACTGCAAACTAAATAGAAATAACTCTGAAAGATGCAGTAAAAATAAATGCAGACAGAAATATATGCAGATAAAGAAAAGCGTTAATCAGAAATATAATAGGCCCATGTCCAATTGTAGTTTTCTGTTTTGCGATTGTGATATTATTCTAAAATGACGTCAGTGACTGCTATTGGCTCTATTTACAGCGTCCAACATAGGACAGCTACTCATTAAAGAAATAAGATAAGTAACGATACCAACCATATAGTACGTTAATGTATGTGTAGATACATCATAACAACTACTGAGTAACGTATAAATATGTAGCCTTAGATAGACTATGTATATAGATAACAATAAATACTAGTAATTTACGGGCTATTATAAAATACATTATTGTCTTGTAAGTTTTAAAAGAAGAAAAAAAACGGTAACTGCCAGTAATACATTTTTGTTCTTGCTTAACCGGGGGTGTTATGATGAGTGAGAATATGTAATCAAAGCATGAGTCATGTGACCTAATTTCTATAGGATAATTATGTGCAGCCCTTAATTAAACAAAACAGTAGTTAATATGTAAAATGGGTTCTAACAATTAAAAGAGGTTCACGGCATATTAAGAACGGTATGTACTCTTCGACAAAAGAGTACGTTTTTTTTAAATGAAACCGAAAACCTAGATCAAGATTACGTTCTAACTGTTTCCGTTGACGTGACAAGGTACTGGTCTGCTATTTTGCCAAAAGTCCTCTATGAACTGGCGCCCAATTTCAACAACTGTTTTCACAATGGCGCCAGCATACACACAGTTGTAGCCAATAACAACTTTCCCTGGCCAACGCTAATTTGAATTAACAGTCGCATGACTATGTCTCCATCAATGAGATGAACTGTAAATTGTATTGTTGTTGGAGGATACTAATATGTACTGTTTTTAATTATATGTCTGGATAATTTACGAGATACTATCTTTTGATATCAGAACATTACACAATAATTGTATATATGTAAGATTTGTCGTGGATTTCTATATCAGGGCCCCGGGATTAAATTCGACTTGATTGTTAATATGAATACAATATACATTACTACCATAGCAACAATACAACCGTATGGTATCAAATCAGATTTGTAGCGAAATAGCCGTCTCTGTTCACTATTAAATTGATTGTTATTCTATGTCCTCGGGAATTCCATTTTGATATCGTGTATGTTTGTGTTTGTCTAGAAGCGGGAATAAAGTATTCGTTGCACATCGGAAAGTACAAAAGCAATCATATACACCAAGTTTTTTGTTTACTGTTATATAATATTTAGGTTGAATTGGTACGAAAATATAACACTATATTTGATAACTTGTTACTCCTTGGCGCGTCGAAAAGTAATTCTAAAAATTAAAAAGTAATGTCATTAGTACCCTTACCGAGAATTCGCATAGCTTAACGCAATATAGTCTTTGATTTTTACCCATCAGTGTTGCCTTTATCGATGTGTTTATATAATTAACTTTTCGGTTTTGTCGTTGCCAAATATGATCTAGTTGATATCTGTAATTATCACGTGATTATTAAACTTGTTAAAAGTGATACGGGTTTCGAATATCTGTGTTATATGTGGACATTAGCAGCGTTTTTTTTTGTATTGGAAGATTGCCAACAATTATTTGAATTCAAAAAGCACTATTGGTCTGAAATGATCTCACATTTAACATGAGCTGATATATTGAAATTCAATTATCTGAGTTCCGTGCGGTCCCTCAGCATAATCGATTCGATATAAAAGGAAAGGGATTTCTGCATTCAGACAATGTAAACAGAGCCGTGATTGAATGGGATATAATAAAACCAGACAACCACATTGCAACAGCTTTAGATCTCTGGAAAAGGCTTGCATATAACGTCAGCTTGATACTTTTCTTTAATACTATATCAGGTAAGTTTGCTTCAAACTTCTCATGTTCGTGTTTGGGTAATAATTGTAGTCTTTTGTTTCGTTGCTGAGTGATAGGTGCGAAATAACGGTATAATTGACATATGGATAAATATGAAACAAATACGTCACCACGCTACTGTCTCCATGACGAAAAGCAAATCTATCATTGCAAATTGTCATATATAGAGAAACCCTCGTACTCTATCCTATATATATATATATATATTTTTCTATCGCCCATTCATTGTACAGTGCAATTAGCCCATGCAATGCATACATATTGTACATGTACCGTGGTATGTTTGCAACTCTTACTGTACAATCAACGTCGTTATGACTGTAACTATTAACAGTACGACTTCATTGATTTCAAAGATGTCGCGATTAATACTTTTCATTTTATAAAATCTGAACAGCTTCTCGTGAAACGACAACAATTTGGTATGGTCACAGCTTTCGTTCCAAAACGCGTTGAGTTTTATAAGTGTTTTACACAATGCTCTTTCCGCGTCACTGACTGACACATTTAATAATTACTAATGGACGTTTCGAATGTAACGTGTCAGTAAATCTTATTCACCGTGTTTCCTAACACGTTGTTGCATCGATTACGTAATAATAAACGAACCTTACGTGTCACACAGACATACTTTACAATATATTAATGGTCTATTTTGACAATTTCCTGACACAATATCGTAACTATGCAGGACTGTTGAGTCCTTTCACTTGGTAGAATTATTGTATTACAAATTTGAGATAACCCGGGACATATTTCTATGATGAAATCTTCATGTTCGCGTAGTATTAGTAGTATTAATATTTTTTACTGTGTGTTCGTAGAAACGACATTGTTATTTGTGGTATTCAACGCAACATGTTGTATGCAGTCTGTCAGTTCGATATTTAAGCGTAAGAATAAGAACACAGTAGCGTATATCGTTAAATAACAAAAATAATCTAGTATTGACATCGAAATTCTATATCAAACACAAATACTTGAATCTATTCATAATTACGTCATATGTATCGCGTTATCTTAAACCCTCGTACACACTATGCATATAGTAATAGCCGACATAACTATGGTCACCAAAGCAAAATGTTTTATGGACAACGTTTTTTTTTTTTAATTTTACTGGGTATGTAAAGTTTACAACTAATCTCAACATGTGTATGTGATTTTGACATCAAAACACGACAAATATGTCAATATTTTATACGGATGTACATTCCTCAAAATGCGTCACTTAACTTTGATATGGTACATAGTTACCGTATGGCCAGAGTAAAAAATACTCAATAATAAAAATATATAAAAACACATCATAACGGTGAATGAAGTGCACACATACACAGATGGCATTTACTCACGTTTTTATCAATCTTAATTGTGATCTATGGGTACTCATTGTTAATTTATCATACAACCATTCACTTGCGGCTTCAGGTATTTTTGTCGTTCTTATTGTCCTGTTTTGTCAGTAAAAGTGCGTTCATTGTAAGTCCCATCATATAGGTCATCTGATCAGCTAGGTGTACGTGTACAGTTGGAAAATACTAACTAATACATCAATACATATCATCACACTTCGCGACTACCACTCGATATTACTAGGTAGTGTCTTGTTATCTGTATTGTTTTTTTTAATCTGTTTTAGAGCACGAGAATAAAGTCACCATGAGTTGCGATCGCCAGTTTGTTATTTACGTAGCTCGACCAAAAAGTTAGTTGTCATCAATGTCGTTATTGTTGTTTGCCTGACAATGCATCGTTTTAATTATAGATAAATTCTTATACTATTTGGAAACACGCTAAATTTTGAGAAACAACAATTTGCACAGTTATTTCTACCATTTCTCTTAAATGATTGCCCCGTATTACATCTATGGCGATACAATATTGGGTTAATGCAAGAATACCGCAAACTATGCACTAAGGCAGTACAGAGGCAATGTAGATCAGAACGTATCATTATACACGAAGCACAGAACTGAGTAATTTGGTAGAAATTTAGTCGAACTTTCTCGAAATAGGCTTTGTTGGAAACTTGCCCACATATCACATTTAGTCTTTTGTGATTTATAATTTGAATTTCCCACTAAAGCAGATTGCAAATACCCCGTACAATATCGCATAATTGCCACTCTCTGCAACCTGTACATAATAACAGACGTATGATATATATACTGCACAACCGATAATTAATAATTGGTACTTTTTTTATTTAAGATATTTACGATGTCTATTATGGCGTATTGCATGAATTACATTGCTTTGCTGACACTAGTGTATCTAGTGATTACGGCACAAGTAAGTATATTAATCAAGTTCCAATACACAGTGTAATACACTAATGTGAACATGGCGGTGAACATGACCAAGAGTGACGTCACTATGCTCCCATTAGCCAATTATATCAGTAGATCTGTGACTGACTTGCATTAATCTTAAATAATAATTAATCATAAAATCTTAAAAATTTTAACCATTCAAAATATTATTCCCACAGCTTGGCAGAAGTACGACAGATTGTGAAGACGGTAATATGTCAATTAATTTATATACCTCTGTAATTGTATTATTTGTTTTTGTAAATTCAGCTTATATGTGATGACACTCCCACTGATGATTTATATCTCCTTACTAAATACAGTCCCCAATGATTCAAGCAAATTCAACGGATGACATCATGGATGATAATCTCATTTATAATATTTCAATCATCATATGGCTTAGAAAGTGTAGTTAGAAATTATAATATTTCGGACATTACTGGTAGTTTCTGATGTCCGCTAATATATACGTGTTTACATACGCGGGTCACATGTTATATATCTATCTACCATGTTTGTTTCATCCATGTCTTGTGTCCATGTCTAGTGAATATGTTGCATGTGTATTTGTAATTTGTGTGAAGATGGTTTCAACTGGCCTCACAAATTGTAATCTCGTTTTCCGAAAACGTAAATATATTCATATTTATGACTTTATTTATTTATAAATTGACGGTAATGGGTCATTCACGAAACGGCGGGCATTTATCTTATCTTACTTAATTTTCGTTTAAATGGATACAAATTCGTGAATCTAATAAATTCAGATTTATAAATTAAAATCATTAGACGTTGAAGAAATAAAAATGACTAATGTACTCAGGCGCCATGATCGTGAGGTAGCTGGCGTTTGAATTGCATGTAAATAGACAATCTAATAGCACGCGTGTTGTATACGTCATAGCATTTATATCCATACGGTGCGGTGCGACGTCCTACGTCATGTGACAATATATCGTCCGACGCACTACAAATAATTTAATTCTTTCTACCAATATGGAACTAAAATGAAATATCTGCAATTAAATTTCAGAGGAACCGTGTAGCAATTCTCCCTGTCAAAATAATGGCGTTTGTACAGAGCATGGGGACATCTATCGTTGTGACTGTGAAATAGGTTACGGAGGACACGACTGTGAAACAGGTAGGTGTTATCTGAAGGAGAGAATGTGATCTTAATGTACTTTATCGACAGAACGAAAAATGTATGTGATAGATATAGATTACATGCTTGCAGTGAAATTAAGTTGTTTAGTGTAATTATCAAATACACACCCCACTTCACAATCTGTTAAACATTGATCAATAAATGCTAAACAGGAATTGATGTTCGTAATTATCATTATTCTTATTGTTAGACGAAAATTATGTTGATGATATTTACTAATTTACGTAATATAACCATGGTCCATACCATCACGCATGAGTGTGTCTGTAATACTTGATATATATTAAATACATTAATTTCTATACTTAAAAGTCAACGTTGCTGTATACCGTTGTTCGATAGAGTTCATATACAATAATGGCATGTGCTGGCGTCGTAGTGGATAAATGTCATGTTCGTTCTGAGAACCAATCATAGTAATCCCGCACCTGTCAAATGTATCTTTGCTATATATATATATATATATATATATATATATATATATATATATATATATATATATATATATATTGA